TGACTGCTCCATTTGGGGGTCTCATCGGCATCTCAAGTTTAATATGTTCACAATGGAAACCTTGATTCACATGCCTACCACCAGCACTCACAAAGTCACTTACACTGTCTGTGTATGATTTCTTCCTTTCTCTCGTATCCCAGTTCAATCTAGGCAAAAGTCTTGGTTCTTCCTCCAAAATGTGATCTTTGAAAAAGCATAACTCATGTGTTATTCTTCTGCTTAAAACTCTTCAATGGATTCCCATTGTGCTTGGCATGAAATCCAAATCTTTACTATGGTTCATGAGACCCCCCTTTGATCTGGCCCCTCCGGCCTCTCTCTCCTCATCAAGGTGCTGGCTGTTGACACACTGACCTCCTCCTCCAGCCAACATGCTGACCTCCTCAGCTCTCTTCAGTGGCTCATCCTCAGCCTTTAGGGCTCAACCTAAAGGCTGCCTCCTCCTTGGAGCTCAATAAACATCTGCTGAATGTTGAATGAGTGAGCTCAACTCTCCCTCCATCCCTATTCTGCTCTCCATCCCACCGTATCCCACAGCATCAGTTTATTACGTGGAATGCATGATCTGTCCCTTTAGAATGACTCAATATTTCAGCCCATAATTAGAATCACATTCTTGGACTCTACACAATTTAGATTCCAAGATTTAAACAATGTTTATTCATGAAAATTTTCAAAGAACTCTAATTTTCCATTTGTTGTGGTTGGCATGAAGAATATAAGGCCATGAAGATGAGAAGATGGTAAACTGTCCTTCATGAACAAAAGGTGTGAGAGCCCCTAAAACTTTTGGTGGAAAGCCTTCATTTCCTTTTCTCCATTTCTGATTGACTTGTTTTTCTGTTAGTGTTTCTTTTTCTTCTGTCTCATGCAATTTCTATCTCATGCTTTGGTTTTCTTTTTCAGTCTTCTTCTCTCCTTCCTTCTTTCTCTCCTTTCTTGTATAAATCTCCTCTTTCTATCCCCCTTTCTTGTTTTTAATTCAAAGCGAACTTTAGTTGGAGCAACTTTGTAGCCTCCTCTGTGGCCTCAGTTCTTTAATGTTTGAAAAGACCGTAGAAAATGCAGGTGTTGATAAAAGCTCATTCTAAAACAGCTCTGTAAACAGAATCAGAGTGTTGTCCTCACTCGTACTTCGCCAGTTTTTGTCTCCAGTTGATCACTTGACCTACAGATCTTAGAATTCTGAATACCAGGACAAGACTTTCTATCTAGGTCATATCAGGAATTATGTTACGTATACTGATTCCATACCATTAAGGAAGAGAAAAAGCAGTGACCGTTTGCTCTGCGTTTCTTCTAAGTGTGTTAGACGTGTCCATCAGTTTGAGTGCTGTGTCAGAGAAATCACACTGGCTTTTTGACAGCTCTCAAATGATCGCTTCTAAAGCCCCAAAGAACTTCTTTTTTTAAAATGGATTCTATTTCATTTCAGGTTCTTCCTGCTGCCCATTTGTAAAGGGCACAGCTCCTGCTCTTGGGGTTTGGGATTTCCTGAGGGCTACTTTACCCTCACCCGGCTGCTGGTTGATGAAAGTTAAATTGGACAGTATTGCTGTTCATTATGAGGAACTCCAAGCATTTTCCCTAGACGTGATCAAAAGGGGGTGCACACAACTTACTGAAATTACAGTCTAACCTGGAAGGAGCCACCAGGCACTGTTTTCATCGTGTGAACAGTATATTGCTGAAAATAGCATGCTTATCCTGTTGACTCACTTTGGGGGATTAGGTGACATAATTAGGAATTACGTAGTAATGTGTGACACACTGTTGCAAAGATTAATTTCTTTAATAGGTTACAAAGAGATTTTAGGGCCAAAGTACTCACTCAAAATACTCTTATTAAGCATATAAGGCTAATATAGAAACCTTTGTCCGAGTTGTCTCCAAGAACTTACGAGACTTATGATCAACTGGGGAATATAAATATTGTCCAAAGATCACAGAGTCGCCTAGACTTTCAAAAATAGTTAGATGCATAAAATGTGCTTTCAGAGGCTCACATGCATGCCTCTAATTCAAAGTGATTGTTACCTTAATAATAATATTACTTATGTGACTTAGATTAGTTTTTCTACCAGGCCAGGGGTTATTAACTGGAAGCCCATGTCTGAATTACTTAGAGTCTTTTTCAAAAACATGCCTGCCAGGGGCCCATCCCAGACTATTGATTCTGAATGACTTATTTTGGAGCCTGGCAATATGTATTTGGAAAAAGCCCCTGCAAAATTACGAAGCTTCTTGTTTCAAAACCAGTTAAGGACCACTGCTCTCAACTGAAAGTTTGGAGAGGCAGAAAGCAAGGGTGACTCATCTTGGTGACCTTAGCATCTAATATGGTGCCTGGTTTGTAGATGTGAGCTCAGTAAATGTTCATTGAGAACGTGGAAGCAAGTTATCTACAAAACTATACCGTGTATGTTTTTAACTACCCATTCGTTTGAATTATTACCGGCTAAGTAAATTTAGTAGTTGAATAGACTTTTTAAAATAATCTTTAGAGGGGAGTCTCTTCTACAGAATTATAGAGTGTTCTGTGGCCTAAATACTTAGTAAATAGATAGATGATATAGATTTAAAAATAATTTAATGTGAAGCCAGAGAACAAAGTAAAGATATGAAAAATACCTTTATAATTACTGATATCTGATTTTACCTCCATTATTTTATGTGTAAAAATATCTTTTAGAGTAAGAACTCTGGTAACATTCCAACCTTGTGCCAGGCTCCATTTCTCTATCAAGGCTAATCATAAGTTGATAAACATTTTTTTTTAATAAACTGGAACTTTTGCATTCAAATGATTGGTGTTCTTCCAAGTGGACATGTTGGATGACAAGGCATTCTGCAAACTCCTATGGGATGGTCTTTGCTGCTGTGACCAAATATGTACCTGTATCCTGATTTCCTACTTGCCACTTCTCTAAGACTTGTCCCTTGCCATCAAGGAAGTTTCAGTACAGGTGGTAGGACAAGAAATTATCCTAGCCATAAAATAATCAAGGACTTGTACCTGCGAGTATGTACTCAAGCACAGATGGACATGGAAGAGCTTGGAGGGGGCGGGGATATTGAGGAAAAGCTCATGAGTAAGGTGAGATCTGAGCTATAAGATTGGGAGAAGGAAGAGTATTCGAGGCAAATAGAGGATCATGGAACCGTTTACAGAGTTGGGGTGAGCAGGGCGTGTGAAGGTGTCTGAGAGGGGATGTGAGGTGTCTACATAGTGCAGGACCAACGTGGAAGAAGTAGAAAGTTCTACAGAGGAAGCGCTTTTGCCTTAACCATCCTTTTCCTTCTGTCCCAAAGCCAATATATGAGAAAATTTTCAATAGGAAATCTTAGGAAGAAAGCACCTGGTTCTCTGTGGATGTAAAACACGCCTCTATGTGAGACTTGCAGTATCTGTCTTTACCAAGGCGCCAAGAGACACCTGTCTCCTAATTCCAAACTGGAAGTTGAAGAGTGTCTCCACTCCTCTCTGACTTGCACTAATTTCCTATCATAACCTTAACGCTTGTGAATTGAATGGAATCTTATATTGCTGTTTTGAATCCATCTTCTGCCTGTTAAAAACATCCCTTGATTATATAGTACTTGACACTTTGCCGATTCATTGTTCCTGGGTGCTCCTGAGGAAACGGGGATAGGGTGACCATGTTGTCTCATTGCCTGAGACGATCTCACTTTACACCTCTGTCCAATTGCAGTCACAAAAAGCACCCCCTTTTGATCTGAAAAGAGTCCCAGTTCTGATGATAAATTCTATGGTCACCCCATTTGGGAGTTATTATCCTTACTTAACACATGAGAAAATTGGGGCTCGGAGAGGCATGGCTGTCTAGAATTATTTTCTCCACCGTGTCTTAAGCACCTTTTATGGGTAATGGAGGAGTCTTTCCCCTGGATGATGGAGGTGTTAATTATAAGTTGTTCATTATGAAATCAAAAATGATGCATAAATAAATGAATATTCTTATTAGGAAAAGAGACAGTCTCTTAGTGAAATTATGATATCATTGATGCAAAATACTCACAATATTATTTCTTCATTCCAACTGGAGGCTATATTTGTTCCCACTTACTATGTACAAATAGCTGCACTAGACATAAAGATCGTTCAATAATAAATTCAACATATCAATGATATTGCAATCGATATTCAACTGGGGTTTGTCCCGTTTTATTAGATCGTTAAAACTGCATTACTTAATTGATATTATGTAGTCAGATTGAAGTAGGATACGTAGTGATAAGCCCAACATAGAATGTGTACCCATATTGCATGCCCCTCTGTGAGGGCACTGAGAGCTGCTCAGGCAGGCTGATAGCAGGGTGCAGCCTTGGGGGAGAGTTCATGCTTGTGACTACCAAAAATAGCCAAGAGGGGGGCCAGCCCGGTGGCGTAGTGGTTGGGTTTGTGCGCTCTGCTTCAGAGGCCTCGGGTTTGCTGCCAGGGTGTGGACCTGCCCAACACTCATTGAGCCATACTGTGGTGGTGTCCCATATACAAAATAGAGGAGGATAGGCACAGATGTTGGCTCAGGGCTAATCTTCCTCACCAAAAAAAAAAAAAAAATAATAGCCAAGAGCTGGAAGAGTTGGGAGAGGCAGGCAAGTGGCTCCCTGGGAGAAGACAGGATCAAAAGCAGAGTGAATTCTAAGATACGAGAGCAGGGATGGAATTGAGAGACAGAGTGGCCCCCAAAGGGCAGGGGCAGGAACAAAGCAGAAGGATCCATGTGATGACTGAAGTGTCTGACGCTCCTTTTCATTGGCCTTAGGTGTTTCTCATGATGCTTGTGGAAAGTGGCTTATCTTAAAGGCCCGAGGTTTGAATGGCCACTCGCTGTGTGCTTTATTCCTTTGCTTTACTTACTGCATTTTGCTTTGTTTGTTAGACTTGAATGCTGCGTAAACTAAATTCATAGTCTTGTAGAAAGAATGTTGGTAAGTCTTTACTTTACATTTCCTATCATCCCATTGTCTTTTAGGTTTTGTGAATGATTCTGTTACTAAATCCATCGTGGCTTTGCGCTTAACCCTGGTGGTGAAGGCCAGCACCTGTGTGCCGGGGGAGGGCCACACGAATGACTTAGAGTGTTCTGGAAAAGGAAAATGCACCACGAAGCCATCAGAGGTAAGGGGACACCGGGTAGCTTTAAAAACGTGTATTTATGTAAACATATATTTATATATATCTCTCAATGATGAAAGGGGAGAGAACAAGTACGTTTGCTGAAAAAGACCCCAAAATTTCCAGTTTTAATTATATGTTAGCATGCAACATATAGATATATAAATCTCCATGTAATTTTTAAAGTAATTATAATAAATTCATGCAGTGCTAGACCCTCTTGCTTTGGTATGAAGTAGAGATTTTGTGAGAAGTAGTAGCCATCATATCTGGTAGCAGAATTAAGAGAAATAGAAGAAAGAAAAGGTAAGCACAGAGTCATTTACTTCTCAGTTATTACATAATTCCCTCCTTAGATTTCGCATTTCTCTGGTGCTGATAACAGAGTTACAGAAGTAAGAGAAGGAACGGAGGAGAGGCAGGGATGAGAAGGCTGACTCATTATTTTTGAGCTTTGTGGAGCAGTGTCATCAATGCTACGGAAGACCTGAGCCCTGTTCCCCCTTTTCATTAGTAGCTGAAGTCACATGGGCATGGGGCACGGGTAAGGGCCAAGTACAGTTTCTCCTCTTTGTTTTCTGGTGAGTCACGGGGTCCAGGAGTCAGACCAGCAAAGGACCTTAGAGGCGCATCAACATCAGTATAGGCTCCGTTGAAATGTTTTTGGCAAATGGAGTCCAGGCTCCCCTGAGCATCCCAAGAGAAGGAGACGCTACATCTTACAAGGGGCCTGTTACATTGGGGGCATCCATTCTAATCACCACTTGCTATTTCCATCTCTGGCACCCTTTCCTCCATGTCCCTCTCCCCAGTTCTACACATATTTCCAATGGACTTCATGTTAAGTGAAAATGGGTCCCCCAAATCACAAAAGAGGGTGATTTGTTTTAGGCCAATTTTAAGGATAGCACTGGTAAGTTTTCTTTGGTGACGCCTCCTTGTGGTAATGTCAGCACTCTCAATAACAGTGCTGTGAACTTGGGCAAGTGAAAGGAATAGGTAACTGACAAAACGCATATTGGAAGACACTTTCAAGTAGTGCTGATATCATCTTGGAAAATCTGTGATTTTGATGTGTTAGGTGTAATACTGCAGTGGCTTAAATATACCATTTTTCTGAAAGATATCTCCTGTAGGGGGCAGAATATGGTCAGGAACCAGAGAAAGTAGTGGGAATAATAATTTCTGCTAAATCTTTGAAAAGGAACACAAATGTAAACCAAAGCCAGAACAAAATCCCTGGGGGAGGGGAGAGTGAGTGGTGTGAAGCCAGGAGGTGAAGCGTGAAATTTCTTTCACAAAGCCAAGCCTGCCCTGTAGATCCCGTTGTCTCCTGTCTCGGCCAACTTGGACTGTCTCTTCTCTTTCCTGAGGGGAGGCTTCATTTATCAATTTATTTTACAGTTAAAAAAAAGAAGTAAACAATACTGAGTGTTCTTCTATGGCGGTCAAGGCTAGGGAGGGATACAATAACTTGAGAAAAGATAAGGAAGCAGTGGGGAGCATGTTTGATAAGGAGGTTCTGGAAGAGATGAAGGGTGAGAGACTGAGGAAAGCTCACTGCTCAAGGTGGAAGAGTGTCAGACCTTCCAGGCGAGGCTGCAAAGATGAGACCCACTGGTCTTCCCCAAATTCACTCCTACTGTTCCCAACGACAAATTCTGAGGCCTGATGAGCCCTGAAAAAGATAATATTGGTGAAAGAGAAATGTCTTAAACAAGGAAAGGAGAGCTGTTCTTGGAATTTTGGATTGAAATTGATTAAGTTTCTTTGTGAGCTTTCTCCTAGAATGGATGACCCAGCTGGGGAAAATTTTCATCCATAAAGCAGTCACCATGTTATCCTGAAACATGCATGTTGCTGGCATGCACCCCTTGTCTGCATGGGTCTTATTTCCGTGAAAGCTCTTGCTAAGAGGCTCTGCCGGGTGGTTTAGAATCGACTTATTGTGAAGGCAGTAGAAGCAGTTAGCACCTGGCAGGTAACTTGGCAAACCTTGCCAAAGTGCTTTGTTTTCTGTGAAAAAATAACTCAAAAGCCTTAGTGAAGAATCCATGCTAATTTTAGCAGATCATTTCAGAGGAAGCACAGCTTCATTATGGGTACCAGCTCCTTTGGAGAGCTCTGAGTGGCCCACCCCAAGATAACACCTCCTCCCTCTGCTCCCACCTCCCAGTTCCACACCAGTCAGTTGCTTTTAAAGTGTAGAGCTTTTGCTGTTGTTGATTCTGTCAAAGCTTGTATTTGCCTTTACTGAATTTAAGGAACTTGTGGCCAGTCATCTTATCTGAGCCTTTATAATTACCCCTGGGGGCTCTAAGCAAAGGATCAGGCTGGAATTAGCATATCCATTTATAGACCCACCACATTGTTATCTTGGAGAGAAATGTCTGGAAGCCAGTCCTACAGTTCACGAAAAGATGGTGGGAGTTGAACTACCTAAGGCAGGAGAGGGAATGGAAAGGTGGTTCATTTTTTTTCCATCTACTTGAGTTCCCGTGGCTTTCTGTGGTTGTTGTCATGGCTGTTGCCGCGACTTATGAGTTGCTTTCCAGCAATAAAAGACGGTTGTTATCAAGTTGCTTTCTTTTTTACTGTTTCCGAAAATTAGAAGTTATGTAGTCTAGCCTTCCACCCCATGTAAGAATCCACTCCATAGTATGAAACAAAAAGAACTACATTTGGTGGTTTAATTTTATTGTTTCTAATCATTTTTATATCTTTTTATTAGGTCATCCATCAAAACAAAAACAATTCTGTTATTTCCACACTACTCTCATTTGGTAATGGAACTCATTTCTTCTCTGTCAGATGTCCTTTGGCCAGAGGATATTTCACAATTCCAAGTTGACAGGTGGCTTGTGATAAAGCTTAAGCTAGCCCTTCTTAGATTGCACACCATCCTGGGAAGGTCTTTTGAAATGTTTACTATAACATCATAGGAGCTCTGTATTTTTAAAATCTGCTTTTATTACAAGAGTTGATTCTGATCTTTTCTTCTTCTTATGAAAAAATTTGGCTGTTGGCCACTATTTCTCTTTGAACTTTGTCACCAAGGTTTGCTGCTGCCTGTTTGATGATTCCTTAATTATCTGAAAGGTGAGAGTCAGGGAGTCACACAGGGATCTTGGCTGGTGTGGGCCTTATACCTTCTTTAATCCAAATTGGGTTCCATGGACCTTGTCTTTCAAGATCAAAAGATTTGTATTAAGGTTCTCCAGAGAAACAGAACTGGTAGGATATATATGTATATGTATAAATCAATTCAAGAGATTTATTTTAAGGAATTGGTTCATGTGATTGTGGAGTCTTGGTGAGTCCAAAATTTGATGGGGGAAGCCAGCAGGCTGGAGACACAGGAAAGAGCTGTAGTTTGAGTACAAAAGCAGTCTGTTTCAGAACCAGGAAGAGCTGGTGTTGCAGATGAAGTCCCAAGGCCATATGCTGGCAGAATTCCCTCTTGCTTGAGGGAGGTCAGCCTTTTTTTCTATTCAGGCCTTCAACTGATTGGATGAGGCCCACTCACATTATGGAGGGCAATCTGCTTTACTCAAAGTCCACTGGTTTAAATGTAAATCTCATCCAAAAACACCCTCACAGAAACATCCAGAATAATGTTTCACCAAATATCTGGGCACCATGGCCCAGCCAAGTTGACATATAAAATTAACCATCACAAGATTCTCTCTAATTCATTGTTGCCTCCTTTCTACCCAATTGCCTCCCTCGCAATTGGGTAGAAAGGGAGTAGTTTTAAAATTTTTAGCTTGCCTAAGAATTGCCTGATGCCCTTGAAAAAAATCATATTCCAGGCCCTTCATTCAGATTCTGATGCCTTTTTTTGGGCAGCCAGGTGATTCTGATGCAAAAGTCGATTGTGGACCATAGTTCTGGAAACAGAGGTCTGAGGAGCAGAGCCTATCATTTTTCCGTTCTTGCTGATTCCCTAAAGCAAATATGCAACTTATTTTTATTCAAGGATTTCATTGTTAATCATTTCAAGGTCACATGGAGTTAATAAAAAAAATAAATGCTGAGAAGTGATACAATGGTTCAACACATCTCAAAGCTTTCATATTTCTTGGCCCTGGTCTATATTGATAGGTAAATGAGGTCAGGCCTCCATTCTAGAAGGTTTCCTAGAAATCTCTTTAGCTCTTGCGTTAGGTATCCATCATCCTTAGTCTATTTGGATTAGATACTAAAGCTGACTATTCAGCCTTTATTTTCAGAGAAAACTGAGCTGGTATCATGGCTAGGAGCCATTCTCAATCCCTTGTAGAGCCTGCAAGTTAGTTCTTTCTCCAGGTGTGGGCCTGTACATGAGAGAAGCGCTACCCTGTCTGGCTCCTGAAGAGTCCTCACCTTCTGTTTCCTCCCTCTCTACTCTGGGAGGTCAAAGGCTCAAGCTCTAGGAAGTCCTAGTCTTCCTACAGCCAAGTTCTTTTGGTTGGGTTTGGTTTATTGGAAATAAATCACTGACCTGAACTGGTTGCTTTGTTTACTGCTTGAAAACACCTGCTCTCCTTGCTCTACAGCCCTTGTGACCTGGGTGGGAGACACTATCCTTCCAGGAGCCTGTCTGTCTTATATGAGCCCACCCTCGCTATCTTTTGTCGTGTTTCACAGCATGTGTCTCTTTGTTAGGGCTCCCCGTAAATTCCCATTTCTGAGGTTTGTTGATTTCAGATCTCATTCTTGGAGTAGAGTAACCAGCATGCCATAAGCTAGATGCATGAGCAGCCTCTCCATCTTCTGACCTCAGCTCCTTCCACAATCCCTGCATCCCCCTGACTCCTCCCTCAGGTCTCCATGGTTTTGTTCATGCTGTTCCCTCCACCTTGAATGCTTACCTGCCGCACTGCCCTACTCCGACCCTCTGCCCCCTGCCCTCCCATCTTCCTAATTATATTTCAGACTCAGCTCAAAATCTTCTTGCTTCTGGAAGTTGTTCCTAACCCCCCAGTGCAAACTCCCTCCTCTCAAGCCTGTAGCATTTTATT